TTCTGGGTCTTATTTTCTATCCCTTTCTTAATAAATCCTAGCATTCTATTTGCCTTTTTGACCGCCGCTGCACACTGTGTGGAAGTTTTCAGAGAACTGTCCACGATAACTCCAAGATCTCTTTCCTGATTTGTCGTAGCCAAATTAGCCCCCATCATACTGTACGTATAGTTGGGGTTATTTTTCCCGATGTGCATTACTTTACACTTATCCACATTAAATTTCATTTGCCATTTTGTTGCCCAATCACTCAGTTTGGTGAGATCTTCTTGGAGTCCCTCACAGTCTGCTTCTGTCTTGACTATCCTAAACAGTTTGGTATCATCTGCAAACTTTACTACCTCACTGCTTACCCCTTTCTCCAGATCATTTATGAATAAGTTGAAAAGGATTGGTCCCAGGACTGACCCTTGGGGTACACCACTAGTTACCCCTCTCCAATCTGAAAATTTACCATTTATTCCTACTCTTTGTTTCCTGTCTTTTAGCCAGTTCTCAATCCAAGAAAGGACCTTCCCTCTTATCCCATGGCCATGTAATTTACACAAGAGCCTTTGGTGAGGGACCTTGTCAAAGGCTTTCTGAAAATCCAAGTATACTATATCTACTGGATCCCCCTTGTCCGCATGTTTGTTAACCCCTTCAAAGAACTCTAATAGATTAGTAAGACAGGATTTCCCTTTACAGAAACGATGTTGACTTTTGTCCAACAAATTATGTTCTTCTACATGCTTCACAATTTTATTCTTTACTATTGTTTTGACTAATTTGCCCGGTACTGAAGTTAGACTTACCGGTCTGTAATTGTCAGGATCGCCTCTAGAGCCCTTTTTAAATATTGGTGTCACGTTGGCTACCTTCCAGTCATTAGGTACGGAAGCCGATTTAAAGGATAGGTTACAAACTACAGATAATAGCTCAGCAATTTCCCATTTGAGTTCTTTTAGAACCCTTGGACGAATGCCGTCCGGTCCCGGAGATTTGTTAACATTAAGTTTTTCTATTTGTTCTAAAACCTCCTCTAATGACACTTCAATCCGGGACAGTTCCTCAGATTCATCACCCACAAAGGACGGTGCAGATTCAGGAATCTCCCCAATGTCCTCAGCCGTGAAGACTGAAGCAAAGAAATCATTTAGTTTCTCCCCAATGGCTTTATCGTCGTTGATTGCTCCTTTTATTGCTCAATCATCTAGGGGACCCACAGTTTTTTTTAGCAGGCTTCCTGCTTCTAATGTACTTAAAAACATTTTGTTATTTGTTTTTGAGTTTTTGGCTAGTTGTTCCTCAAAATCTTTTTTTGCTTTTCTTATTACATTTTTACACTTGATTTGACAGTGTTTATGTTCTTTTCTATTTATCTCACTAGGATTTGACTTCCACTTCTTAAAAGATACCTTTTTGTCCCTCACTGCTTCTTTTACATGGTGGTTAAACCATGGTGACTCTTTTTTAGGACTCTTGCTATGTTTTTTAATTTGGAGTATACATTTAAGTTGGGCCTCTATTACGGTGTCCATGATCTTTCAGGGATTTGGCTCTAGTCACTGTGCCTTTTAATTTCTGTTTAACTAACCTCATTTTTGTGTAATTCCCCTTTTTGAAATTAAATACCAGGGTGCTGGACTGCTGAGGTGTTCTTCCCTCCACAGGAATGTTGAATGTTGTTATATTATGGTCACTATTCTCAAGCGGTCTGGTAACGGTTATATCCTGGACCTGATCCTGCACTCCACTCAGGACTAAATCAAGAATTGCCTCTCCCCTTGTGGGTTCCTGCACTAGCTGCTCCAAGAAGCAGTCATTTAAGCCATTGAGAAATTTTGTCTCCACTTCTCTTCCTGAGGTGACATGTATCCAGTCAATATGGGGGTAATTAAAATCCCCCATTATTATAGAGTTCTTTATTTTGGTAGCCTCTCTAATCTCCCTCTCTGCTTCTCTTCCTGAGGTGACATGTATCCAGTCAATATGGGCGTAATTAAAATCCCCCATTATTACAGAGTTCTTTATTTTGGTTGCCTCTCTAATCTCCCTCAGCATTTCAATGTCAGTATCGCTGTCCTGGTCAGGTGGTCGGTAATATATCCCTACTGCTAATTTCTTATTATTGGAGCATGGAATTACTATCCATAGCGATTCTATTGAACATGTTGATTCACTTACTATTTTTATTTCATTTGATTCTACATTATCTTTCACATACAGTGCGACTCCGCCCCCCACCCGGGCTGCTCTATCCTTTCTATATATTTTATATCCCGGTATGATTGTGTCCCACAGATTTTCCTCATTCCGCCAGGTTTCAGTGATGCCTTATTATGTCAATCTCCTCATTTAATACGAGGTACTCTAGTTCACTCATCTTATTAGTCAGACTCCTAGCATTTGTGTACAAGCACTTTAGAAATTTGCCACTGGTTATTTGTCTGCCCTTCCCTGATATATTGGATTCCTTTGTATGCAGTTGTTTGTTTGCTCTGGCCCATGGTTTGTCCTCTCCCCTCCTCTCTTTCTGACTACATGTTAGATAATCTCTATCAATGGATTCTCCTCTAAGAGAAGTCTCCCTCCAATTTACGTGCATCTCCGCATCAATCGGCTTTCCCCCATCTCTTAGTTTAAAAACTGCTCTATTTTCAAATAGATATTAAATTGTCTACAGTGGTTTTGTCTAATTTCTTGTTGGTCATGCTTATAAATCTGAAATCATTTTTTCATTAATACATACTGAAGCTTCCACTGACACATTCCCCTACATTTTTATGGTCTATCCATGCTGGCTAAATCGGATTTACCTGAAGTCATAAATGATATAGTAAGATCGTATATTACGTAATGTATTAAATGGTAGAACAGAGAAATGCTGAATAAAAGCATTCTTAGAGTTTTATGCTGTGGTTAATCTTGTAGCACAAATGCATGCAGCCCAAAGACTTCGTTGAAAAAACTCCGGAAAATGATAAAAGACTACAAAAAAAAATTGACCTGATGGCTAAAGAACTAGATATACAAAAAACAGCAACCGGTGAGTTTAGTATTAGTTTTCGTTCGATTGTAAAAAATTAAAAACAAAAAGAAATGCCAAGATATCTTTGTTTTAGGTTTTAAGAAATCGCATAAAATCGAATTTTTTTCTTTTATCACTTTATAATTGAAATTAAAGTAGTTATTACAATATGATTGCTCATTGAGAAAAGCTACTATAGAATTGTGTTTTGATATTAAAGAATAACTTTTCAGTAATTGAAGTAGTAGTGGGCTTGATTTTTAAGGAGTTATTTAGAATTCAGCTTTATTAAACTTGTGGTACTGACAGCATTGTAGAAATATAGTTTTTAAGTAACTTAGTCTATGAATTCTCAGAGGCATAGCCATGTTAGTCTGTAACTGAAAAACATTAAACAACTAATGTTCCTGCAGCATCTTGGAAACTAACAAAAAATGTAGATGGTATCATATGCCTTCATGGGCACAACCCACTTCTTCAGATGAATGGGGCAAAGGGTCCAGAGGTATACACAAATAGCAGAAAAAGAGGGGAGAGACAGAGGGAAGGCGGGGGGGGGGGGGCGGAACTTGTCAATTAAAGTGCCCGTGATACTTACAGCCCAGTCTATTAGCCTCATTTAACAGACACTTTAATTGACAAAGAGAGGGAAATGGAAAAAAACACCATCTCCCCTCTTTTTCTACTGTTTATTTGTATCTCTGAACCCCTTGGTCTATTCATCTGAAGCAGTGGTAGGGTGAAAGCTCATGATACTATCTACGTTTTTTGTTAGTCTCTAAGGGTATGTCTACACAGCAAAGTTATTTCGAAATAACTTTCCTAGCATCTACACAGCATAACTGCTATTTTGAAATTATTTTGAAATAGCGGAGTGCTTATTTCGAATTTGGTAAACCTCATTTCACGAGGAATAATGCCAGATTCAAAATACCTATTTCGAAATAAGTGCTGTGTAGACACTTGTATCGAAATAGGGGGCCTCCAGCCTTCCCAGGGTGCCGTGGTGGCCACTCCAGTCTCAACCAAGAACACTTCTCTCCCTTCCCCCCTCCCCGGAGCCCTTAAAGGGGTAGACTCTGGCCATAGTTCCTGTGCCAGCTCTAAGCCTGCCAGCCCAGAGCCAGCAGTCACTGCCCCGACCCAGTGGCACCAAAACATGCGCCAGCAAGCCACTGGCAGCCAGCCCTTCACTGCTCCCCAGGAGCAGTCTGCCAGCTCCCAGGAACCTGCCAGGGCCTGGAGAAGATGAGCGCCTTCCTGGTTCAGGGTGGAGATCATGGACCTTATTCGGGTTTGAGGGGGATGCCTCCAATGCCCATGATCTCCGCACTAGACGTATGAACACGGCCATCTATGGCAGGATAGCTGCCAGCCTGGACACCAAAGGCCACATGCGAACCCAGAAGCAGGTTGGCATGACATCAAGTTGGTCCGGTGAGAACCCCCCCAATCTTGAGCTTCCCCTCTCCCTTCTTTCGCTTGCTTCCCCCTTCCAGCTCCCTCCTCCCAGGTTTCCCCCTACCCTCTCTCCTCCTCCCTCCTGCCTCCTTTCCCCAGTCTCACCCCAGTTTCATTAAATAAAGAGCGTTTGTGTTCATGAAAATACATGTATTTTATTTGACATCAGGAAAGTGGGTTAGGGAGGGGTAAGTGGAACAATGTGAGGGAGGAATGAGGCACAAGCCACCAGTGAGGCAGATCAGGGAGGCTTTTAGTGCTCCTCAGGGTAGATGCTCTTCGGCAGGGCCTCCTGGATACTGACAGCCCCTAATGGACCTCCTGGATGGCAGCCTGCAGAAAGTGCAACCAGGCTCACAGCAATGCGACCACGAGAAGCACCAGAGTGCCATGGGGCAGCTTTGGCTCCATGTTGCCGAGTGCTGTGGTGTCCTGAGTGAGGGCAACCAGAGCATGCAGAGACAAAATGCTTTGCTGTACCTCATCGAGGTAGGCAAGCAAGCAGGGAAAGCTGAGAACTAGCTGTTGGGAGGGGGGGGGTCCCTTTAAGCACAAGCCTCAGGTAGCCTCAGGCAGCAGCCACACAAAGTAACTCCTGACCTTATGCCCTGCTGGACCTGGCTCCGGTCAGCCTTAAATGCGATTGTGTCCACTCAGTGTGGATGTGTATTTTGTGTGTAGACACGTTATTTCAAATTAACTATTTCTAAATAAGATATTTTGAAATAACTCTGTAGTGTAGACATACCTAAGGTGCTATGGGACCATTTGTTTTTTTCGTTTATAAATGTAACTTTGTACTTTAAAAATTAATGTTATGTTCAAATATGGAAACCCTCATATTAACTGCAAATTACGATTGCTTTTTTAGAAACCGATATACCTGTTTTATTATTTGAGGATGATGGTTCACTTGCATATAGTCCTACAGATAAAATAAAAGATCAGTGCAGTGCAATGGAAAAGAGAATAAAGGAAATGAAGGAGAAAAGGGAAAATCTTTCCCCTACTGGTAAGCAGTTCAGCTTTATGACTTCACGAAAAAGCATAAATGGTTGACATCTTTCTCAATGAACTGTCCTGATGCAAGCTCTGCGCATGTTCCAGGACTGTCTAATTTTCTTTTGATTTGAGAAATCATGTTGCTGTGAAACATCTGCTTACTCTGACTTAAATTGAAAATTCATGATTTAAACCAAATAGAAGATTCTTAGTCCAACACCCGGACCATGCGCTTGGTCATTCACCTTTTCACTGATTTAAAAAAAAAAAAAATCAAGCAGGGTTAAGTCATTTCTTGGAAAAGGGATTTTCAAGGAACCAGTATGTGCCTGTGATCCAGTAGAATGAGGGCTCTTCCTTCTGAGTGTTGTTTTTAGAGAATATGTAAGATCAGAGTTTTGATTGCTTAAAGAGTATTTGACACCTCTTGCCAAAGTATGGGTGCTGGTGAAATATCAGATTAATTACCTTCTTCCTAAACTTAAAATTGGTAACACTTCTTATCGTTTTAGGATGTTGAATATTGGTTTGTGCTCCATTTCAACCCAGAATTAGTAGTTCAGTGGTAGATTAAATCATCCCTGTTCATAGTTTCTAGAATATCTTACATTTTTAAAGAACTCTGAGTATTTCAAGACGATTATAAAATAGAATTGAAGATCAGATGATGTACGCCTCTCTTCTTCCTCTCCACAAATAAACCTCCATTGTTTTTACTCCTTACCCAGTGAAATCTGATATGAATAACCCATGGAGCCCATAATTATCAGGGTCATTGCTCTCTGGAATTCCCTGAACCCCCCCCTTTTTTTTGCCAGAGATTAAAATTGCATGAGCATAGTTAACTCTGGATAGCAGCGTGAATTTAAGTGTGGTGAACAGTAGTAGTACAATGCTCATAATCTAAAAAGGACAACTCAGCTACGTGGTTACCTTAACTCCCAATGTAGACTGTGATAGGTCAAGAGAAGAATTTTTTTGTTGATTTAGCTATCACCTCTTGGAGCTTTGGGAAGGGGTTGGGACCTCTTCTATCACTGTAGTGAGTGTCTACACTTAAGTGTTACAGTGGTGAAGCAGAAGTGCTGCTGCCATGTAATGGTTTAAATGTAGACATCGACTAAGAGTCCAGTTTCAGAAAATATCCCATGCACAACCAGCTAGACCAAAGTACTATATATTCTCCAAGATTCTTCCCACTCAGTAGTGCTGTTGTTTTAATATTCCCTAATGTCTATTTATATTGAGTGGGGAACTTAAGGCTTGCAGGCTGAATCTGGCCTGTTGCTTAATTTCGTTCAGCTCATGACAAGTTTCAGTGGCCCCCTTTGGGGCTGGGGCGTTTAATCAGTTTATCAAGTAGTGGATGGATTTCAACTACTCAATTAGTTCGATAAGGGGAGAAACTGCAGAGCTACAGCATGGTTAGCTCCTGGCCTCAGGAGCTAACCCTGCTGCTGCTCTATCTTTTAAGTGTAGTAAGAGCTGCCCAGTCCAGGACGCTTACCATTCATCAGTCCGGTTCGTGCCCAGTCCCAGATACTGCGCCTCTGCTTTTTAAATGTAGTAAGAGCTGGATAGTCGACTACTCGACTAGTTCTGTACATCCCTAGGCTGGAGCCTCGAGTGCCGGCTCACACTGCTTTGGGGAGGGTGCCAAGATTCTGGGCTCTACCTTCTCTGCTCACCTCACTGTGAGGGGAAGCCCTGAGCCTCCATATTCCACAGGCAGGTGACTTGAATGTTTTATATTTCTCTCTCAAAAAACCTCCTAAGTTAAGTAGCCGTTTAGTTGTGTGTGGCCTTCAATTGATTTTTTTTTTCCCCCTGTGGGTCAATGGCTCATGGTAGTATTTAAATTGGGGTGGAAAACCTTTTTTTCTATCTGACACTTCATACTGCAATTGCAGTCATTCATTGTCAGATAACCTAAACTGCAATGCTTCTGCTGATTATGCATAGAATTATGCAAGTAACAATTTCTGTAAAACTGAAATCTTCTTTCATCACATCACTTGACTCAAATGTTCATTTGTTTCTCAATTTAAAAATACTTTTTTCATGCGAGAAACATACCACTTTGAAATATTTCAATGTGAATAAATTAGTTTGAACCCCATTTAATGTTAAAAAATAGATTTTTTTTAAACTTAAGGTACACAAAATTGAACCTTTTTGAAAATTCAAGCAAAACCAGCTTTTTCTTTTGAACTTCTATTCATACATTTAATGCCACGTTACTTTAAAAGGGGAGCTTGTGATAGGTAGTAGTCATAAGTAATCTACTATACAAAGCACCCAGTGATGAGACTTTAAAAAAAAATTTAAATCAATTATTTAAGAAACAGGTTTAAATTGATTGTAACTGTGTACATTTGTGCTATCTGTAATACAATCCTAAAATATACAATGAATTGAAGAATAAATACTGTATTTGTAATTATATTTGTTTCTCTGCACTTCCTCCAGTTTATCCACATCTTACCTTAAATGTGGCACCCAGAACTGGACACAAGGCTCCCGTTGAGGCCTTATAAGTGCAAAGTCGAGCAGAAGAATTACTTCTGACACTCCTGCTAATATGTACCGGAACAGCGGCAGGCAATACTTTTTGAAGTGGCCCCAGGCTGCTCTGGAAGGGGCAGGGCCAAGATGCTTCCATGATTCCCCACCCACAGACCATGATTGGTCTGGGGGCAAGGGATCCCCTTTGCCTCCCTCTTCCCACTAAGTACCCATGCCCCTGGCTGGGTGGAAAGAGGCTTCACACGCTCCCCTACCTCCAGACCAATTAGGGCCTCGGGGTGGGAGGAGCGTTCAAAGTTTCTTCTGCCCTACCCCCGTCCTGCGAGGAGCACGCAGTACTTCAAAGTGCTATGCACTCCTTGCAGAGAGGAGGAAGCTTCATGTGCTCCCCCCACCCCTAAGCTCTGATTGGCCTGGGGGCGGTGGAGCATGCAAAGCCTCCTCCCGCTCTGCGAGGAGTACGTGGCACTTTGAAGTGCCGTGTGCTCCTTGCAGAGCAGAAGAAACTTTGTGCACTTCCCTGGCCCCCAGGGCCCAATTGGCCTAGGGGCGGGGAAGTGGTAGGGCTTCCACAGGACAGATCAACCCACTAGGCAGGCCGGATTCAGCCAACAGAGCCCCTTTTGCCCACCCCTGTCCAGAATGATGTTCACTGCTGGTTTTTTGTGTGTGTGCAAGTGTTACACTGTTGACTCATATTTAGCTTGTGGTTCACTATGACCCTTAGATCTCTTTATGCAATACTCCTTACTAGGTAGGCATGTAGTTCTTTTTCTATTAGCAAGAAAAAGCTATTTAGATTTCAATATTTTAATAGAGCACTTGTGAATTTCTTTATACATGCAGGCTGAACTTTTCAGAAATAGAAACCTAAAATTAGGCTTCTAAACCCATACGTGGATGCCTAAAAGGTAGAATCTTTAAAAGTTACTTAGAGGGATCAAGAGAGCCAGGTTGAAGCGTTTTAGCTTTCTTGACTTGTGGAAGTTCAGTAAATCAGAAAGTGGTATTGGTTGCAAATATATCAGACTTGTTTGCTTATAACTTTGAATGTGTGTGTTTTGTTTCACAGCAGGGATATTAATGTGGTCTTGGGTTTGTCTCTTAGCATAGATGAACATTTTAAATTTGAAACTTTTGTAGAAAAAAATCGTGTAATTTATTAATAAATTATATTTTAGCTTCACAAATGTCTCAGATATCTACATTTAATTCAACACAGCCTACATATGGAGAAGGTCTTACTGCCACTTCAGCGAGTGCTTTGCTGCCAGGTAAATAATGTAGCTTTAAGTTCTGTGAAATGTATTTTTTAAAATTTATAAATGTGCTAAGTAAAAACAGACTTTTTAGACTATACTGTATTATAAATCTGGAACAGTTCCTCAGATTTGTTACCTAAAAAGAATGTTTCAGCTGTGAGAATCTCCTTTGCATCCTCCGAGTGAAGACCGATTCATGGGATTAATTTAGCTCCTCTTCAATTACTTTGTTTTGAGTGCTCCTTTCATATTTAATGCTCATTTTGCTAACAGAATCAGACTGTTTGAATTAACATAAGAGTTTATGTAGCATTACTAAAAGAAAAGAGAACAAATAATGAACCAAGACACTGAGCAACAAGAATAAGTATGGGTATTTACTTTATGTAGTTTCTCATGCTCTTTCATTTCAGTTCTTGCATTTTACATGCTTTTCAAAATAGAGGGTGAACTTTTTGTTTACTTTCACCACTTGTATTCAAATATAAGACTATTTTCCCAAACCTCACAGGGATATTTATACTTGTATCACATTAAGAGCTGTGAAGCACTCAGAGATGCATATGAAAAGTGGTATCTAAGACAGAGGTGGTCTCACTGAAGTCAGAACTCTGATTTCAATTTAGTTACTGATGGAATTATTGCAGTTATGTATCTGCTTTAGAATATATTCAAAATGTAAATGCTTTAATAGAATGAGCTATGGTATATAGATGTTTTAGCCTGATAGTGGTTAAAGTGATATGCAAATCATTTCCACACTGTTGGAGGCTTCAAATGCCGTTTTAACTCAAGTTAATTTTGGATGTGAACTGAAGTCCTCTATTTTATGTACTATGTGTCTTTAATGTCAGTTAAGCATAAATATAAATTTCACTTTTAGCCATTGTTTCAGGCATCTCACATGTCGAAGTTTCAGCTTTCATCTCTTCCAATTCAGTTAAAATTACATTAATGGCCATATCATATTTGACCTTAAAATGCATTCAGAAAAAATACAGCAATTTATCTTACAATTAAACCTTTTCACTTTTTCCCAAGTAGGACAATAACAAGACATCTAATAAACGTGTGCAATACCTCTAAAACTTACTAGGATTCTTGCAATAAATCATTCTTTCAGAACATTTAATTCTTGTTACAGGGGCCTATGATTCCTCAGAACTGTTCTAGAATAATCAACCATTCTTCTAGTCTGTTGTATCTGAGCTACTCATTGCTAGAGTTCTGAAAATGTTCTTTAAAATTATCACATTTTTTCCATCACAAAAAACACTTTAGAACGTGAATATTGTAAGAGGAAAATACAGAAATGCTGGGAGGGAGGGGGTTCGGTATTTTAATGTAAAGCTAAGCCATGCATGTGTTAATGTTTAGTTTTGTGGCTAAATCCTTGGACAGTTCTTTGAGCAACTTTCCACATACTTCACTAATTTTAACTTTGTACTATTCCATTTTTCTTAATGTTTATAATGCTTTTCTTAATGTCTTGCAGAAGAGCACATCAGTGATTCTTTAAACTCGAGTTTTGGTGATCTTTGGGGAAACTGTAAATACAAAAATCAGAAACCAAAACCAACTCGAAATGATATTTATGTATCTACAGCTGTATTAGAGCATCCTCTGTTTTCCAGTAGTGACCAAGGGGACTTAACTCCAAAATCAACTAATAGAAAACATTTAAACAAACTAAGTATGCAACGTTCTCTGGAAAGTAAAAAGAGAAAATCTAAGGAGTCTCCTAACCTAAATCAGACTGGTGAAAATCATCTGACTTGTGAATTGGTTTCAAACAAAAGTTCTTGTGTCCAAGAAAAAAACTTTAGTCCCATCACTCTGTACCCCAAAATGGTCCAGTTGAAAGCTTCTGCAGTTACCATGAGCAATCAGTCTGATTCATTAATGAGCAGTGCAGATTCTATTAATATGCATGCAGTTGACATAAATATTCCTGTTGACAGAGAGGATTGTAGTGTCAGATACAAAATACAAGGGAAGACTGAGAGAAAGAGCATAAAATTAACCACCTCAGCATTATGTAAGGTAGGGTCTGAAAATGAATTTCTTCTAGCAATGACCACACGTAACAAATCATCAGAAATAGAGGAAGCTTCATATGAAGATTTCTTTTCTCCTTCTAATTTGAATAAAAGTAAAAAGCAAATAAAAGACTTTCCTTTGCAAGTTCAGCAGAAATTGCCAAGTACTCCTGAAATAAGTTGCAAAAGAGGCTTTCTAAGCCACAAACGAGAGAGATTGTTTGAAGGGTCAGATAAACAGTGTGTTGCTCTTTTCAAAAAAAGAAGAACTGGTAAGACAATTGGTACATCAACAGAGGATGACTGCAGGATGACTGAAGGTTCAGAAAGTACGGTGACTGTGACTTTAAACTGCATGTCAGGTGGAGTTAACGCTGAGTCAGCAGAAGCCCTGGGTTCTAGCACTCTGAATCAATTTCAGCAGAGTCTTCAGAATATATCCTGCAGAACCAGCGTGAATAGCTGCCCTCAAACTATTGGTAAGTTGCTCCATATAAATACAAATTCAAAGATGCAGAATTATGATGCATTAAAAATGTGTGTGCAACTAAATTCTAAAATAGACTACCATATTGAGAGAGAACTATGTATTTCAGAAACTAGATTACCAGAAAAAAACGCTGCTTTGATGGCATCAGATTCAAGTGACAAAAAGGGTGCAGTGGAGCCACAAGAACACCCACTTACTTCTCTAGACTCTACAGATATAGAAAAGTCAACAGGGGAAAAAAAGGAAATCCTGCTTAAAAATTGCAATCCAAGTATGTGAACTTCTTTACCCTGATATTTGGCACCTTGTGTAAACCCTGTCATTTTTCTTGTGTACCCCAAGAAACAATATTGTCATGGTTAATTGTATTGTGATTTTACAAATTGTCCATGTACATATATAATTTCTTAATTTGTAATATTTGGAATGGGTATAGTTTTAATTGCTTGTCATTCTGGTATTAGAATATACAAATATGACATATCTTAGGGTACGTCTAGACTACAGGGTTTTGTCGACAAAGCAAGCTGAATGTAGTCTAGACGCTCTTTGTCGACAGACTTTTGTCGACAAAACCCTGTAGTCTAGACGTACCCTAAGATATGTCATATTTGTATATTCTAATACCAGAATGACAAGCAATTATAACTATACCCTGTAGTCTAGACACAACCCTACATGCAATAACACCTTCTGTCGACAGAACTCTGTCGACAGAAGGTGTTATGCCTCGTAAAATGAGGTTTACCAGCGTCGACAAAACTGCTGAGTTCTGTCGACGTTATGTCGACAGAACTCAGCGGTAGTGTAGACGCAGGTATAGTTTTGTCGACAAAAGTCCACTTTTGTCGACAAAACTCTGTAGTCTAGACACACCCTTAGGAATTTCCCTGTAAATTGTCTGTAGTACTCTTTTTAAAATTTGATATTTTTTTACTTTTGAATATGGGAAAACTTCTATATAATGCTAAATCTCAAATCCTTGGGTTACTTTTTTGGTTTAATTAATAAAGTACTAGTGTTTCAATATATGGAGTATACCACTATTGTGTAGCTTAAAAAATGATTATGGAGATGTGCATGTTTGTGCCATGTATCCAAGCTTAGAAAATGGTCATAAAATCAACATCTTTCCTTTTTTGTTATTTTTACAAGACAAGCATAAAGACCTCAAAGGTGTTTCTTTGGTTTGTGTTTTAAACTTGACTACATAAATTGCTTTGACACTAGTTGAATTCTAACTCCAGATTCAAAAATGAGCATCTCTTCAGGGACATTTCCTCAAAAGAAAAGCTTCCATATTTTGGCAGACTTGAAAATACGAACTCCAGTTTACTGAACCCCTTTACATTTTTCTATCTGCTATTTGAAAATCTTTTATTTTTTGTTTAAAAACTTGAATTACTCCAGTTCTGCTTGATCTAATATTTGGCATTTACCGTTGTCACCGGTTTTCTGATGATGATGCTTCTGGTGTTACAGGTTCAGCCTTTTGAAGGTTTGTTAGAGACTGAGTTTAAAGGAGCCCTAGTTTTAAAATCATTTGAAAGGGAAGAAGCAGTAATGAAAAACAGAAAAATGTGAATTTGTTTAAATATTCTGCAAAACAAAAGTCCCACTTACAATTCTCCACAGTGACTAATTTTAATTGACTGAATCAATGTGGTTATTAAATATTGATGTTTTGTAAATAGTCTTCATTTTTATTTTGGATTGATTATCAATTATTCTTCTAAGACAGGAGAGCTTACATATTGCTGTTTGTTGAAATAGTAAAAAATGGTTTGTAACTTTTATTTTTGTTCCAGATAATTGTTTGAAATGGATACATGCAAATATCAGAGCCAGCAGAGAGGATTTGCTGACTTTTAAAATGTTGGAAAAAAAACCTCTGATAAAATATATCTTTGACCTTTAGGCTGAAACTTTTTTTTATTGGTAAAATTCCCATTGAAGAATACTTATTTTCAGTGGATTTTCAGATCTGTCTGTGCATGTTACTTTCCATCATTAAGGCCTGTGAGAGCAGTTGACAATATTGTCATGTGCAAATACTCTATGACCTTTGATGTATGCATTGCCCATGCATTTACAAGTGAAACCTGGTATCTGACGATTCAGGCCCTCTGCTCTATCTTTGCAAATTGTGCACAAATTCTAAGCAGGTCACTTTTATAATTCTCACCATTGTCCATGTATCTTCCTGACCTGTGTGTGAACACAGGTAACAGTGCGTGGTTTCACTCTCCTACTAGACGTACATAATATGCAGGAAAAGCCCAAATGCAAGGACATTAGAAATTCATTAGTAGTCACAAAGGACTCAAATAAAACATCTTACTAAAATAAGAGTCCTCTTTTCTAATTGTTTAGGAGGAGGAGATTAAAAAAATAAACCCTTACATTTAACACCTTACAGTGTGATCAGCCTCATTTATGTCAAGGTCTTAGATTTGTGCTGAACACAAGGGAGAGAATTAGTGGTTTTCAGATCTGTGAATAAGAGTCATTGGAAATAAAGCAATATACACAGATTTCAGTGAAAATGAATATACAGTGAAACAAGGAAAGCCTAATGGGTTTACTAGTTAACATTGTGTTAAACTTCTTTTTAGATCACACTTGAACCATACATTTTATGGTAATACAGTTTCCATCAGTCTGGCTGTGACTTTTTTTTTATAGGGATGGTGATTAAGTAAGTCGGTGTTCTGTTTGCCCAGACCTATTTAATTCCTATAGCTACTTAACTGTGTAGTCCAGAAATACATAAGTCAGACAAAGAATGAGATATTAATAGGTTTTAAGACTGAGTGGGGCTACTCTCTTGTATATCCTACCTCCAGCTAGAGCATGCACAACAAGGACAAGCAGGCATTGCCTCTTCACTCCACAGTGTATGGCCAATCTCCGTTGAGCCAGTGTGGAGTAGATACAACTTGTCAAACAGTTACATGCATGTTAGGGGTGAACAAATTTACTGATCCTATTAACTGCATATGACAATCTTTAGAAATGCAAGAGCCAGATTGGGAAGCACTTGATCGAACTAGGCTTCAGCCCTTCTCTTGCTGAAGCCCTGATATCCCCTTTGCCACTGGGCAGAAGCCTGCTATAAGGTAGAGGTTTCAAGCTTTCCTCTGCACCTGCCATTCTGAGAAGTGTAGAATGGATGGAGAGGCCATGGGGGATTCCATAGACTTTTAACTGCGAAAAAACCCCTGCATGTGGCTCATGAGCCGCAGTTTGGCCACCTCTATTATGTGCCGTAATGTTTTTAATCCTCTACTTAATAGATACTTTGTAGACAGCTATAAAACATCTCCTGGTCTGTGATTGGAGCATATAGGCACAAATGTAATTCACATAATTTATAATAAATCAAAATGTTAAAGCTATATCATTGGCATATAAAAAGGGCACTTTCTATTAAATCCCAGTCTTAGTTTATTGCATGTAAAATAATTTTATCTGAAATGTAATATCAAGGTATATTTCTTCATGACTTAGTGAGATAGCGTCTCACAATCCCAATTACACACAACAATGTAGAACAAAGTAATACATCAATGAAGAAAGAGATCTTGGAATCCTTGTGGATGAGTCTCTGAAAACATACATTCAATGTACAGTGGCAGTCAAAGCCAACCGAATGTTGGTAATCACTAAGAAAAGGATGGAAAATATCATGTAGCCTCTATGAAGTTCATGGTATGACAACATCTTGAATGCTGCATGTAGATATGCTTTCCCCATCTCAAAAAAGATACACTGGAATTGGAAAAGTTTCAGAAAAGGGCAACAAAAATCATTAAGGATATGGGACAGTTTCCATATGAGGAGAGATTAATAAGATTGGGACTGTTCAGCTAGGAAAGGAGATATGATAGAGGTCTATAAAAGCATGACTAGTGTGAAGAAAGTAAATATGTGTTATTTACTCCATCTCATAACACAAGAACTGGGGATCACTAAATGAAATGAATATGTAACAGGTTTAAAACAAACAAAAGGAAGTATCTCTTCACACATCACAGTCAACCTGTAGAACTCTTCCAAAGGAAGTTTGATGAAGGCCAAGACAATAGCAGGGTCCAGAAAAGAACTAGATAAATTCATGGACGGTAGATCCATCAATGGCTGTTAGCCATGATGGGAGGGGTTGCTTTCCTTAGCCTCTTTGTTAGAATCTGGAAATTGGTGACGGGACTGATCGCTTGATTATTACCTGTTCATTCACTCTAGGGCACCTGCCATTCGCCATTATTGCAAGACCACATATTGGGCTAAATGGACCTTTTGGTCTGCATAGTAGGGCCATTTTTATGAGATTTTTCATTATGTAAATATTACTATGCAGTGTTGGAATTGAAGCTCCTCAGCTTTTTTCTGTTGCATGAGAACCAGAATGTAACACTCTAAATCAAAGAGGGTTACATTCATTTTGATTTTATCACCTAAGTTATATGTAAGGTGTATAAATTTAAAAAAATGGTAGAACACTTTTTTTTTCCTTAAATTATTTGCCGTATTTTTGTCCTTTTTAAAAAGTCAGTTTGTAAAATGCCTGGGAGTTCTTGGGTAGTTGATGATAACATGTAAATCTTTCAAATTCTGTTAATATATTTTAAATTTACTTATAGTTTTAACTTTGCTTGGTCAAGTTTTAATTGCAATTGTAATAATGTATTTTATCCTCTAAAATAAATAGAAAATGAGCTTATTTGTGGAGAGTTGAATTTAGAATATCCTAGCATTAAACTTTTTTTAACGAGACTGGATGCTTTCATTTGAAATGATAAATTGGGCAATGTCCTAGTCTAGGCACCAGTCAATTAAATGAGGAAGAATGAGCTAGTTAAATCTTGAGTAATTAATCCTACATATGCCAAAAGATGGATCAAGGTGTAACTTCTCAAAGTGTACACAATATATAGTAAAGTGGTTTTGACAGCCCTAGAGACTGAAAGTTACTAAGTCACAGAACAGATACAACGTAGGCAATGATATTCAATGCTTACTTCTGGTAGCTGCAGGGCCATCTGTGTAAGACTAAAAGTTGAAGCTAAACCATATGCAAATTATACTTTGAAAACAATTTAGTCTGTCTTGGTGGTACTGTACTTGGATAAAAAAAATTGAAAAATTTTAGAATTTTTTTTAACCAGATTGTTCCTTGCTTTCCCCACCAGGTTCTAAACTTCTAATGCGCTTGGTTTCTAGGTATTGAAAATGAAATTTCAGTATGTGAGACTATAGATGCCTCTGGTGAAGTTTTTAATAAAAACAAGAATAAACCCAGTCGGGAATCAAAGAAAACTGGGAGAGTCAAAAAGGTCAGTCTGTATAGACACAACATCAAGAACATTTTTATATGTAATATATAATTTTAACACCTTAAAGGATAAAAATTTCCTCTGTATACAGTGCAAATAATCGATTGAATCGTCTAACTTTTTGTATACTCTTTGGGTGAATATAGGACAAGAATGCCTAAACAGTATTCTAGAGATACTTGACTACGTGTGAGCTACACCAGTATTTCTCAACCTTTTTTTAATAAGGTAACCCATTTAAAAAAAATTATAATTACCCCCAATACCTACAGTTTTCAAACACACAATTTTTTTCTACCATTGCAATACGTGTTTAAATGACTTAATCATAGCTGAGCGGGTGATGAAATTTTTGGTTGTAAAAAGTACAAAAACAATAACGTTCTATAAAACTTAAAACAAAAATTCAGTTTTCTCCAAATTTCAGTTGTGTTGATGTACCCCCCCAGACTTCTCTTGAGTACCCCTAAGGGTACTCGTACCACTGGTTGAGAAACACTGAGCTACACCATATGATTGTCAGCGTATCTATAATATGACTTGTATTAGGCTTCTCTTTGTCAAAACTAATTGTAGTATCTTTAATAGTTGTATTCTGAAAAAGTATATGTTTAAGCAAAGTGGGGGTTCACTTGTATATTTTGTATAGTACTAAACAGTTTATGGTTTACGCAGTACTTGAATATAAAACTTTGAATATGAAGCATCAGTACTTAACTACAGGCAGCCCCCGAGTTAGGTGGATCCAACTTATGGCAGATCCCTACATACGAACGGGGCTTTTCTCGCCGTGGAGGACGCGGGCGGCAGGACCCCCCCCCTGCATCCTCCACTGTATATTTTGTATAGTACTAAACAGTTTATGGTTTACGCAGTACTTGAATATAAAACTTTGAATATGAAGCATCAGTACTTAACTACAGGCAGCCCCCGAGTTAGGTGGATCCAACTTATGGCAGATCCCTACATACGAACGGGGCTTTTCTCGCCGTGGAGGACGCGGGCGGCAGGACCCCCCCCCTGCATCCTCCACCTGCCGCCCGTGTCCTTCGCAGCGAGGAAAGCTGCTCCACATC